TAAATACATATTTAATTTTTATTATTTTCATATTTTTTTTCAAAACTTAATAACAAAAAAGGTTTCTATCTAAAGAGCTTTATATTTTGGTATTTTTGGAATATAATAATTTTTCAAATTATAATATTATGCTTTCTCTGTTTATTTGGTAAATAAATATTTTATTATTTTTATTGTTCAAATAAAAATTATTATTTTGTTTTACTGAAAATGAATTGGATTATATATTATACTATTACTAGGGATGAGAATAGGTCAGACGGTCTGTCAGTTACGACCTGGTCTACATAAGGCTTAGCCTGACTTGATCTATTTATTAAAAAGGCTCGATCAAAATTTTTTTTTAAGTACTTTTATTTAAATAGAACAAGTTTAGGTTTTTTAAATTTTTTTTTAATTAACAGACCGACCTATTTATTATTATTATTATTATTATTATTGTATAAAAATATTTTTTTATTATTATATATTAAAAATAACTTTCCATATAATAATAATATTTATTAAATAATTATAAATTTATTATAAAAATAGAATTTTTTAACTTATATATATATTTAATAATTGTATGTATTTTTTTTTAATTTTTTTATTTTTAATACTAAATTTGTAAATAAATAAATAAAATAAAAATATTATATAGTCTTTTAAATAGATTTGTAGACCAGACTTTTAAAAAGGCCAGAGTGTCAGGAACTGACATTTCTGTCCAGGTATTCGGTCATAGTCCGTCCCATGTGTGCGAGCCCCAGAACTGTACGCTAATCAACGGCATATGTGTTGGTGCAGGTACGCGTCCCGGCTCATTTATCCGCATTATTCGGTATATTCAGACTTGTTGCGCACAATGGAGGGCTGGCTTGGGCCTTTGGACCTTGGCGTCGGGCGTGTTAGCTTCCGGCACCTTACAAATGCAGGCTTTTAAAAAAAATATTTCAGGCTTACATGTTAGACTTAGGCCAGATATTTTAAAAACATGACAGAATTTAACCAAAGTCTGACCTTTCTATTTCCACCCCTAGTTTATTACTTTTACAATATTTTTACAATAATTTTCTTATAGGATAAAATAATTTTTACATACAAAATTATTATAAACTATTATCAATATATACAATATTTATTAAATTCCGTATAAAAAATAAATGTGTATTTATAAAGTGGACTGCGGACTTTAAGGGTGTGTTTGTCTTGGGATTGAATTTTAAATTCATTATTCATCCAATTTTTTCCCTAAAAAACATCAAATCAAACACCTATTTTTCATTTTTTTATATTATACTAAAAAACATTTTTACACTCAAAACATCACATCAACACCTATTTATATCAGATCATACAACTATTCAAATTCAAAATTTTTATTATTCAAATCCCAACTCAAAATCCAAATCCCCAAACAAACACACCCTTGATAAATACTTTGATTTCATATGTATTAGTAGTATGCAATGAATTAAATTTCACTCGAAATTTCTTGAATTTTATAAAATTGGATCGAAATTTCACAAAATCTAGATATCTATATTTTAATTTTAAAAAATATTCCTTTAATTTTTATTTTTTTAAATAATAATTTATATTGGCATAATATTTGTATTCCATTTAAAAGGACTTGTAGTATTGGGACAATGTTTATGTTGGCATAATATTTATATTCATTCTCCTATAAATTTAATGTCGTATTAAATATTGTATTTAATGACAAATATATGGATTTTATTGTAATATAATAGTGCAGTTAAATTATTATTTATTAATTTTTTTTGAATTTCTATTATAATATATATCCGTTAATAAACATTCTTTTTTTTTTTAAATTAAATAATAATTTATTTATTTTTGTATATTACATATCAATCATTTTTTACTTTAAAATGTCTAAAAATGTTAGAAAAAATTTCTAAAATTTCATTTATAATTTTTATGATCTCTTTAAAATCAACCAAATTTCCATTGAAATTTCTATAAATTTATATGTACGTGAAATTGACTCCAAAACCAAAATTTGATATCTTAGGTTGTATTTACATTTTTGGTAAGAACCTATATGAAGTTTCTTTCGAGTCATTTATGCGGTTTTGACTATTTTTGTTGTTTATAATTATAATCACGAGAATAAAAAATTGTCGAAGATATCCATTACCCTTTTGGGAAATAAAGGATGTCATGTTTATGTTTTGAAATTAGTGATCGTCGTATTTTTCGCTGTATAACTTTAATGTAATTTGAAAATTTGACTTTAAAGTCTATTTGTACATGGTCTTTCGAGCTTTCTCTTCTTTTTTTTTTTTTTTTTTTTTTTTTAAAGCGTATTAGATGTAAATAGGTTTATAGGATTAAACAAACTTTTGATGGATCGATTGAATGACATTTAGGGTGTGTTTGTTTGGGGGTTTAGATTTTGGATTGAGATTTGAATAGTAAAAATTTTGAATTTGAATAGTTGTATGATGTGATATAAATAGGTGTTAATGTGATGTTTTGAATGTAAAATTGATTTTTAGCATAATGTAAAAAATAAAAAATAGGTGTTTGATTTGATATTTTTGGAGAGAAAATTTTGGATGAATAGTAGAATTTTGATAAAATCCTACAAACGAACACACCCTTAGTGGTTTTGGGAAATAAACAAGTTAAGGTATTGGATTATTGCTAACTCTTTGCTCCAATATTTATGATGGTTATAGATCTCATATTTTTGGTTATTGCTACTTCCCGTCACCGGAAATTACATAAAATGGATGTTGACAACATTTTTGCGCATGATTATCTTGAAGAAAAAGTTTATATGAATCTACCTCATAGTTTATTTTCCGAATCCTGCATATTGATCGTTATCTATATCACTCTTTATATGGTTTGAAATAGACCATAAATGTTGGTTTGCGAAGTAGGCCTAAACTTTGAACAGTTATGAGATTCGTCAATTTTATTTTGATTTACTTTTTGTAAAGGGTCTATCACCTTGTGTATTTTTTATGCGGGTGATCTAATCATTTTAGCGATTGATAACAATTTTTTTTTTTTTTCAAAATTTGGTTTTTTCATTTTTTTTTTGGTATTAAGGTTGTTTGTAATCAATTTGATTCTATTTCTTATTTATCATTTGGTTAGCCATTTGATTTATTTTTATTATTACATGCCAAGAGTTATCTTATTATATTTGTGTTCTTGGCCAATTTATGCAAATCCCATGGCAAATTGAATAGGACATGCTCTTTGGATTGTATGCTATCTTAAAAGACATGTGGGGGTAAGACTTTGTTCTTTCTAATTTTTTTTTCTACATATTTTTTTAAAAAAATTAATACACTACACACATTTACTATTTTTATATTCTATACACGATTTCTTATACTTCACATAATTTTTTTTCCAACAATCTCATAAAACAAACACACATATACGTGGCGATTTTTATTTTTGATTATATAGTTAGTATGATTTTGATTAATCCTTGACTCATCGGTTTTATGATTTTTTGTGTGCTTCTAACACCTTTTTTTTTTTTTTCATTGAACTTGGAGAATATGGTCATCTATTATTTTTTGTGGATACCTTGTGTCTTAGAAGACCAATAACTAGAATGTTATTGCCTCAATTGACAAGAGAGGTTGTATATTTGTGTATCTTATCCTCAAACGGTTCACTTGTATTGTGATATCGCTTTATCTTGCTTCGAATCCAATTTTTTTCTTTTATGAGTTCAAAAAGACATTGAGGTTGACTGTCATTTTATTAACAAGTGATTCTTTGTCACCGGTCATTGATGTGATCCGGGGGACTTAAAATCTATAATCTAATTAATTGTACTCAGTGAACCTTCTTGTTGCCTATCCTTTTTTTTTTTTTTTTCTTTTCTTTTGCCTCTTTTTAGTCTAAGTTGAATTATGTCTACTAATTTGATGAGGTTGTCATCGCTACCATTGCTCGCTCGCAATAAACTAGTGCATTCGATTGGAGCTGCCACAAGTGATGTGTTAATCTTAGCCATCGGTTTGTTTGATATACCAATCTTTGATTGATGATACTAATCTTTGTTTTCGTCGCTTGATGTAGGATTAGGCTAGCCTTGAAGGGGAATACATATGTGTTTACTTGTGAAGTTTTTGTTTTGGATTTTGATTTTAAATAGTAAAATTTTGAATTGAAATCGTTGTTTGGTATGATATAAATATGTATTGATGTGATATTTTGAATGTAAAATTAAATTTTAGTGTAATTGAGTATATGATTTGATATTTTTTTTTTTAGAGAAAATGAAGTTAGAATAGTAAAATTATGGGTAAAATCTCACAAATAAATACTTATTAATCTGTGATGCTCATTTAACCATTTGAATGTTTGATTAATTGGCCTAAAGGTTCGCTTCAACTATTTGAATATTCGCTTGATTTGTCCGAAGTACGCTTGCCAAAAACCTTCGCTCACTTACGTGTTTGCTTGCTTTGCGGATTATTCGTTTAAACTATTTTTTTTTATTAGAATCTAGCCGACATATGAAACATCACTTGAAATTTGGCATTTTCGCTAGAATTTCTAGTTAAGTATTTCATATAATCTCATATGACAATTATATAGTAATAGATATCGTAATTTAGATATTGTGTCGATTTTTGTACATAAATAAAAATAATAAATTATTGAATATTATCCCACATTGATAAATATGTGAGAATATTTAGTTTATAAGGGTGAATAACCACTCCATCTATCACTGTATCGAAATAATAAGTCGTATTATATACAAAATTCTACAATTTTTTCTCCAGATTTAAGATATATATTGATAATACAACTATATATACTAATTTCTATTAATAAAAGAAATTCAATTTAAATATAAATATTAAATATTTTATTTGTAATTGATTCGATTTAATTATAACTATGAATACATTTTTCTTATATCAAATTGAATTTATTTTTATTATATTTCAAAAACTACATAAAATTTAATTAAAAATTTAAAACTAAATAAAAAATATAAACCCTAGCCCCCAAATCAATTCCGGTTTATTTTCAGATCTCTGAGCTCCAACCCATCGATTCTCACAGACCCCATCATCATCGGTTCTTCCTTCCCGTCAATTCAATGGCTGCTTCTCCCAATAGAGGTAAGTTTGTTTCCCTATTAGCTCTTCTCCTGCTGTTATCTTTCGCTTTTTCGTGTTTCCCATCTCTGGTTCTCGCATCAGAAGCTCCCCCAACCTCAATTTCAGACCCCCAAAAACAAACGGATGAAGATGATCCGAATGAAATCGAAACCCTAAAAACTTCCCTCCTTAAAAAGCAACTAGTTCAATTGGAAAAGCTCGAAGAGGTAGTTGAAAACCTCAAGCAGCTCGTTGCTAAGCTAGAGTCTCGATTTACTGATTGCGCAAAGACAATCGATGTTTCGACATCGATTGATGAGATTAAGGATAGGATTTCGGAAGACGATGGTAAATTGCGTGGCGGTAGTGATGAATTAGATAAGAGAGGAGTTGAAACTGTGTTAGTTACGAAATACAATACGTTTTGGTCTGAGAGATTTCAATTTGTATCTGCTGTGAAATTGAGTTCGATCCCGACGTGTATTAGCGTTTTACCTTATCGAGATTTTGATGGTTCGACTAAGTATTTTGCCGTCGGAGATGATAAGGGGAAGCTGTATGTGTTTTTGAGGAGCGGCGACGTCGCCGGAGAATTCGATTCCTTCTCGCCGCCGGCGGAAGATCGGTCGGAGGTCACTTCGATTCTGTCGTATTTATCGGCGTACAAAAATGAGAGCGTCGTCATTGCCGGACACGGTAACGGCGTCGTGGCGATGCACCGCGCGTGGGAGGTGTCGAGCGGCGACGAATGGAGCTCGTTGCACGTCGAAAAAATTCGCACATTTGCGTTCCCGGAATCATCATCGTCGAAAACGTCATCGTCGTCGAGAATTAAGTTGCTAGAAGTGCATTATGTAGGTAGGAGGAGGTACATTTTCGCGACGAATGACGACGGGGAAATCATCGTTTTCCGGGAGGACGGGACGGTGCACGGCGTTGTTGCGCCGAATCGGCGTCCCGTTGCGTTTATGAAGCAACGGCTTTTGTTTCTAACGGAGAACGGCGCGGGTTCGTTGGATTTGCGGAGTATGAAGTTGAAGGAATCAGAATGCGAGGGATGGAACGGTTCTTCCGCAACGAGCTTCGTTTTCGACGCGATGGATCGGTCGAAGGCGTACGGGATAACGCCAGACGGCGATTTGGTGCAGGCGTTTTTGTTGGGTGATACGATGAATTTCATGTGCCGGGTTCGGTCGAAACGGAGGCTCGACATGTTCGAGCCTCGTGTTTTACAGGCGATAAAAGGGTATTTGCTGATCGCGGATTCGGAGAAGGTCTCCGTTTACAATATCTCGTCGCAGCAGTACGTTCGGGCGGGCGGGTTACGGCTGATGTTCACGGCGGGACTCGACGAGATCGCCGCGACGTTTCTGAACCCGCAGCAGGTTTCCGATCCGACGAGAACGGGAATGCCGTTGATCGCGAGCGACCACGAGAAGCACGTTCTCGTCGGGTTCGGGAACGGGTACGTCGCGATGTACCGTTCGAACCTCCCGGCGTTGAAAAACGAGTTCAATAGCATCCTCTGGTCGAGCCCGGTGCTGTTCTTCGTCATTTTTCTTTTCGCGGCATGGCACTTCTTTTCGAACAAGAAAGACGCGCTCACGTCGTGGGGTCCTGACGTGCCGTTCAGCTCGGCGCCCGTTTCGAACGGTGCTCCGTTGGGCGGCGACAGGTCGTCGTCGTCGTTCGTCGATTCGACGAGGAACCCGGAAATTATGGAGCTTAGAGGCGGGAACGGTTTGAGAGGGCCGTCGAGGTTTTCGTCGTCGCCTCCGCGATATCAACCCGGCGCGGCAAATTCGTTTGTGTCGGGTAGCGACGTCGATTCGAGAGGCGGCGGTGTCGACTCCCGATTTCGGGCGGGATCGGAGATGAAGTTCCGGGGCGGGAACGTGGATGGTTCCGGGGTGTCGAAAAGAAAGGAGAGTATGTTTGGGAGCGGTCAAGTTGCCGACGATCACGGAGGCAATTGATGGCCGGCCGGCGGCGGTGGTTCGCCGGGAGGAGGAATCTCGGGCAATGAATGAAATGATCTATGCCACGGCATGGAAGGGGAAGTTGAGTTTAACCTTTGTATATGTACTATGTACTTAGTATAAAATGTGTTTGTTGTGAACTTTAGTTGTGACGATGAATAATAAGAAGAGGAACACACATTTCACATTTACTAATTTTTGTACTCGTCTTGCCGAATTCAAATTCAAAGTATCATTTATATTATTTTTGTCGGTTTTATTACTTTAAATAATTATACTAATATTAAAATACTCTTTAATTTTTACTTAAATTACAAAAATATCATTATACATACAATTTTTTTTTTTATGCATAAAGTCAAATGACATAAATATAAAAAACTATTAAAAATTTTTACTAACTAATAAAATATTACTATTATTTATTAATCAGAGAGAAAATATATATTATAAATATATATAATTATCCCTGCAATTCATTTATACATAAAATATAAATGGTAAATATATGGAAATTGTCTCACACTTTCGCTTAATAATAAAATACTCTATTCATTCCAATTAAAAATACCTATATTACTATTTATGTTGTGTCATTTAAAAATATTTATTTTTTTTAACAAATTACGTTCTAATTTTTAGAAAAATTACAAATAAAGTATTTTTACATGTACTATTAATTTATGTATAAGTACAATAGACAAAAAAAAAAGTATTACAGCAATATATTTATACTAATATGGTAACAAAAATTTTAAATTTTTATATATCTTATATAGTACAATATGTTCCATAACTATATTATATATATATTTATTCAAATACATATTTTAAAAATAGTTAGATATTTCATCCAACCCTACATATATAATCACAAATCCAACAAGCAACAATATTTGATTTAAATTTTGGATGGATAGTTAAATTTTTTTATTTAAATAATATATATAAAAAAGATATTATTTCCAAAAACATAAAATCTAGATAATAAAAAATCGAAAAGCCCACATAATACACTACTAGTATAAGTAACCGTTGGCATCTTTGTAGGAGCAACTGAATCCTTTCTTAATATCATATCAAAATATTATTTAAATAAAAATATCAAGCGCAGTCGACAAAGACGGAACTACATGTCGAACAAGTCTCAAATGCATAGCTTATTAGCATGTGATAAACTACCTACCTTCCTACCCAACGAACTGTCGCGCCAAATATCGACAATGCAACATGCCAAACGCTCGAATAACAAACAAAAATGTACTAATCTCAACTACACGAGTATAATCCATCGCGCTACGCTCAAACAAAGAAACGCACGATCAATCTAAACAAGTAATTCAAGCGACGGCGATCATGAATAAATACGTCCTAATGTTATTAGCAAAAATGCAGTTAATAGTTTCCCAACATTCAATAACAGAGAATAGCATCATAATCCAAGTTAAAAAGACTAAATTATAACAACAAAAATCGATCGATCCTATCCTCCATAAAACACCAAACAATTGTCGAACAAGCTCCGCAAAGGTGCAAATAAATACGAATAGTTTTAGCACCGGGAGCTACGGTAGGATTAAAAAAACAACGAATAGCTTTTGTACCTGAACCTACGACGAAGAGCTGCCCATGTTATTGATTTTGTTGAGAAAATTATGGATCTCCGTCTCCAGCCTCGCTCGCATTTCCGGCAAAATAGTATCCCCGGCTCTCTCCAGAGTCACCTTCATCATCTCGACATTCTGTCGCATTACAGCAATGTCAGGTGTCTCCGTAGCCCTGACCGGATTATTCTGTCGCACTTGAGTCGGCAAAACAGGTTTAGGCATCTGAAAGTTCTTTTTTTTCAATGGTGCCTTCGGAGCACCCTGCGAGCAATGAAGATTGAAGCTCGAAAGAGCTTCTCCAAACGGGTTGCTTCTCTCCAAACTTCTGAATGCGAATTTCGCATCCGAGCTCCTTTCGTAAACAATCTGCACACTGGAATCGTCGTTGATCTGAATCTCGGACTCCTTCAACAGCCCATATCGCGAAAAATTAGCAACGAGTGTTTCTTTTGCGGGCAGAGTAGATTCCGCGACGAAGTTGAGGAGAATACTGCCTCCGGGATCTTCGTTGATTTTCGCACTCGAACCTGATTCGGCGCTGGGCTTAACTTTCCCCCTCTTCTGCTGCGGCGTACCTTCAGGTAATATCGGAATTCCCTCTGGAACGGTGTTTCCCAACAAGCCGGTATCTGAAACATTCGCATTCAGATTCGGAATAACCAAAGCGCCTTGCTGAGTCTTTTGTTTTCGTTTTCTTTCTTTGATTTCTGTTTTTTTGCCATCAGATGTCGTGCCGATCACTGGAACTGGAGGCGAACCAAATGAAATTATCCTCGTATTAGCATTCGCATTGGGGTCGCGACCTCCGGCTGAAAATTCGGTATTCTGAAAAAAATTCATCCGGCTTGATCGAATGTTGGGATTCGGAAGATTCTTGGCTACCGGTGGCGGCTGAGCAATGCCCAAATTTATCGGGACTAATCCTTCCATCCCAGGAGGCATGCTATGATAAGGAGATCGTCCGAAACTTTGATGGCTTCCGATAAAATTAGCGAAATGATAGCCATGATTGGCAGCCCCTCCCGATGGAATTTCGTTGACCGGCTCGACGGGTTGGTTCCCATTTAAATCTGGCAGTTCGGCAACTTTGCTTCTCTTAGGATGCGCATCGGACCCCTCTGCCTTCTCGGGTGTATTTTTTTCAGTTTTGGTCACATCTGAGGGAGTCTGCTGGAAGCCGACGACGCACGATTTATCAGGAATTTCTTTTGCATCTTCGACTACAGAAATTCTTGTTGGCTCCTCGCTACATTCCTCACTTTTTTCAGGTAGAGTTCCAATTTCAGGCGCGGTTGGGGAACTCTTCTGGAAGCTAATCAAGCTCGAGCTATTGGGGTTAGCTTTATCATCGAAGGTGCCTGTAGGCTGTTTGCCGTGAACATTTCTTTTCTTAGGTGCAGATTCATTTTCAGGTAGATCCGAGCTAGCCGGCTGGAAGCTAATAGTACCGGAGAAGTTGGGATTATCATCTTTCACATCTGTGCCGACAAAACTGTTTGCAGACTGCTGCACTGCCGGGATAATCTTTTCCTTCTTCTTCGCCCTCCTACGCTTTCCATTTCCATTCAGTTCCGGATCATTAGTTTTGGAGACTCGGTCGTCAACAGACTCTCCAGTCTTCTTGACAGATTTACGATAAACTCTCTTCTTTTCGGAGGCTCCCGCCTCTTTAATTTTTTCCGGCAATACTCCAGCTCCAGCCAGGTTTTTGGAATCACTCGGTTTCTCCTTGGTCACGGATGGTTTTCTTGCTTTAACAGCCGTAAGCCACGGAGCAGTTCTGAAGCCAGTTACAAATCTCTTCATCGAATCATCCTGCTCGCTTCCAGTGATTAGAATACAACCACGAGCTGTTCTCTTCAATTGACTCAGCAATTCGGATGAAGAGGCTGTAATATTGCCTACTTCACTGCATATGAAACAGAAGTTGGGAGGCTTCTTAGATCCTCTTTTCCCAGATGTCGCGCCATTTGATCTTCCTCGTGGAGTCGATTTGGTTGAGGCACTTGAATTAATCTCGGGTTCATCTGCTTTTTCCTCCTCGTTGGATTTCGCAATTTTCTTGTTGTTGACATCAACATAAGGATACGACAAGTACTTGCTCTTCTTTCTTTCCCGGGATTCATTGGCTTTACCAGATGAAGTTACTTTGCCAGTATGAGCTCGATCTTCTTCACCACAGTTCCTTTTCCCTCTCCTCAGTGGATAACGACTGCCATCACTGGTCTTTACAGATTTCTTCCGCTGTCTAGAAGCCTTCTTATGGTCATCATTCGTCTCTTCTTGCGCCAACCCATCCTGCAAATTCTTTGCAGCATCTTCGCTTGATTTAACTAGTTGTACGGGTAATTCAAGGTGGCCAGTTGAACAGTAATACGCCGAGATTCGACTTTTCATTACTGTCAGCTCAATTCTACCAGGTGGATTGACAGACACGGCAAGATTTCGGATTTCTGCAACAAATCTTGCTGGCTGAAACTGTGACAATGACAAAGCATTGTTGATGTACTTATTGTCTTTACTTTCCAATGGTAACTGAAGAGAAAATGTTTGGCCTTCTTTCAAGAAACAGCGGCAAGTCATCTGCAACCTCACACGCTGACCAATCTCACACACAGCCTTCTCTACCGAACCAACAAAGTTTCTACCTTCGATCTGTCTTGACATCTGGTCAAAGTAATCAACGAAAGGCTTCAATTCGGAATTACTGCACCAAACAGAATTTGCATTTCCAAAGAACCTAACATGGAAGTCAGCCCACTTTTCAGATTTTTCCACGTTGTTCGCAGGTTCAGAAGCTTCGAACACAATCCCTGGCCACCACAGGCTGGATTTGGTTTTAATCCACACCAAACTATTCACATTAAATGCCGATTCTTGCTCTCCGACAACACCTTCCTCTTCACTTTTGTTTTTAACACAAGTGGACAAATCTCCATCCTCTTTGATCGAGCATTCCTTATTTGAATCACCGCCTTCTGACACGTGCTCACGAAAACGATCACTGTCAGATATTCCATCTAACGGACCAAAAACTTCGACAAACAAATTAAAGCCCTTTCCAGAAACATCTATTGTTTCCGGAGATCTAGGCTCAGAACACTGCAATGTGCCACATCTCTTCTTATATTCCCGAACCTTCCCATCCTCGATTCCTTGGTCGGATTCAGAAACCCCCACATAAACCTGCAGATCATCATCCTTTATCTCACTTCCACTACTTCCCCCAGCTTCATTATTTCTCTTATCATTTCCTGAAATGCGATCATCCAATTCCCTAATGTGACCAGAGGCACGCTCCTCAGATGAATTACACAAGGAACCAGCCTTCTCCTCAATGGCCATTTTAGCACATCCCGAAACACCCTCCTCCTTGTTTCCCGAAGTCTTCTTAGACTTCATTCCAATAATTTTCAACAAAACACCACAATTCTCTCCACAAACAAATCTATAATCGATTGCCAACGCTGTTACACAAACACAAACCACAATCAATTAAAAAAAAAAAAAAAAAACAGCTCTAGGTTTTCTTCCACGCACAGTCAAACATCAAGCGAAACACAATTGAAACCAAACCCGCATGTTCCGAACAGACAAAAATGACAAATTCAAACAATTACAGATACATTCGCATAGAGATCACTAGGAAAACTACAAACACAACAAAGATCAACACCACCGCCAAAAATTAGCCCCATTTGGTTGGCAAACAACACCAGATGGATAATCAAAGCGAAACTAAAAAATTACAAAAGCAGAAAACTAAGGAGAATGAACCTTGAGGAGGAGGAGGAGGAGAGTGAAAGCACTGGCTCCGCCACAAAATCAGCAAAGCGAACAGAATAGTGTATAGGGGAGAGGGAGAAGTAGAGAGGGATCTGTCGTTTTATATAAAAAAGGGGGAGCGGAAAGAAAGATGCGTAGACGGTTCTGAGGTGGCATGGCATCTCTGAAAATGAACAGAAGGGTAAAATCGGTATTTCATGTCTTAGGTAGAAAATGAATACTTCGGGATTTTCAATTGCTTATATTTTTGCAAAATAGTTTCGAAAATTATCTTAAATATGATTTATACTTTAACAAATATTGAATAAAATTTGTTTTAAGATTTAAAATAAATTCTCATTTTATTTTAAAAAAATTACATAATTTTTTTTTATTTTAAAAAATATTATATGAATTTTTTGTTTGAATTAAAGTAATATATCAAAATATTTTTTTTATTTTCATCTATAATAAATATACAATTAATTTATACATATAATTTAAATTTTTATTTAGGTAAATTACTTTTTTTTCGTTTGAATTGAAGTAATATATCAATATATATATATTTTTTTAATCTAAATTGTAAATATACAATTAATTTATACATATAATTTAAATAATATTTTTAATATAGTACTTTATTTAAATAAATCACTTTTTTCGTTTGAATTGAAGTAATATATCAAATATTTTTTATTTTTTTACCTAAATTGTAAATATACGGTTAATTTATACATATCAAGTAAGACAAATATATTAAGGGTGTGTTTGTTTAAGGTTTGGATTTGGATTTTAAGTTGTGATTTGAATGGTAAAAATTTTGAATTTGAATAGTTGTATGATCTGATATAAATAGGTGTTGATGTGATGTTTTGAATGTAAAATTAATTTTTAGTATAATATAAAAAATAAAAAATAGGTGTTTGATTTGATGTTTTTGAAAAAAAAATGAGATGAATAGTAGATTTAAAATCCAGTCCTCCAAACAAACACACCCTTTACACATTTTTATACACTAATAAAATATTATTATTTGTTAATTTACTATAAAATTTTAAAAAATTCATTTGAATTGAGGGGAAGAAAGATTATGTTTAAAAAACCTAACAATTATACCTTTTCGTAAAATTAGAGTTTAATACAAATTTTAATAAATAAAATAAAACTCAATAAGTTCCGACTCAATTGAATTCTTTTAATAATGATTCAATATTTAAGATAATATGTTTAATTAATTAATTAATAATAAATTATAATAATATTTTATTATTTTTTATATAAGTAATTGTATTGGTAGTGTAAAAATTATTTATTATAAATAGAAGATATCAAATCATTAATAGAACAATAATTTTAAATTTAATGAATATGAAAAATATAATAATAATAAAAAATTGAATTTGAATTGAAATGGTACATACCTATATATATAATACAAGAATTGTACTTCTGCCATTTGAAATTATTATTTTACTATTTCTCTTATTTACATCTTTGTCCTTTCCTTCACCGTTAGGTGAAATTGGTCTATGCATTTTTGCCTTTTTTTTTTTTTTTTTTTAGGTGAAATTGGTCTTATGCATTTTTGCCTTTTTTTTACTTACATGGTCAGTAATTAATTAATTTAAACAATAATATTTTTTTATTACATATAGTTGGTTTACATGGAATATATTATGACTTTACTGATGCTTGTAGATGTTTCATTACTTACATTTGTGTTTGTTTGGGGGTTTGAATTTTGAGTTGGAATTTGAATAATAAAAATTTTAAATTTTAATAGTTGTATGACGCGATATAAATAGGTGTTGATTTGATATTTTAAATATAAAATTAATTTTTAGTATAATATAAAAAATAAAAAATAGGTGTTTAATTTGATATTTTTTTTTGGGGAATAGGATGAACAGTGGATTTAAAATCCAATCCCCAAACAAACGCACCTTAAAGAAAATTGGTAATAATCATATAACATATCTTTTTTTTTTTTGTGGAATTTACTAAAAAGATCATTTCGTTGTCATCCGCATGTTTTAAATTTTTTTGGAATAGAAGATGTCTGTCTTCTTATTTTACTTAGGGTGCGTTTGGCAATTAGCAGATAGTTTTTACCTGTTAGCTTATTCAATTAGTTGTTAGTTGCTAGCTGATTCAATTAGTTGGTTTGACTATCTGATTCAATTAGCGGTTTGTATTAAAGTGTTTGGTAAAATAATTGTTTGACATTAGCTGTTTATATATAAAATGATTATTAAGGACATTGATATGCTATTTTTTAAAATATTTAATTTTGTTCATTTTGGTTTGAAATTTATGAGAATTTTTGTTATTAATTATTAAAAATTATAAAAAAATTATAAAATATTTATTTTTATTTTTATTATTTAGATTTGAGAAAATTATTTTTACTAAAAAATAATAATTTTTTATTGAAATTATGTAAAATATAAAATAATAAATTTTTCGTATATATATCTTTATTATGTTAAATTATTGTTTTAATATATATAAATAAATTATTAACCTTTATTTTTTTTATTTGATTTAGTTTTAAAAATTTATATATTTTACAAATAAAATAATTTATGTGTAATAATTAATAATAGTAATTATTTTAAATTTACAAAAATAAAAATATAATTTAATATTAAATATATTAAAAATAATTAATAAATACAACTATACAAATATATTTATATGTATAAAAAAATAATTAAGTTTTAAAGGTAAATAAGGAATAACCAAAATTAAAATGAAAAACTCTTTCAAAACACTGGGTGAATGAGCTTTTAAAAAAATTAGCTTTTTGAATCCAAAAAACTATTTCTGATTGATCAAACAGCTAAAAGCTGTTAATAAGCTAAAAACTACCCTCTTAAGCTCCTCTTAAGCTGAAATCATTTTATGAAAATAGGCGTCTATGGTTTAGGCTTAACTTTCTTACTTTCAATCTCACTTCCAGCCACTAGCAAGTACAGTAAGTGACCTAAAATTTGCATCACGTTTTGAGTTAAATGTTAAGGTTATTTTACTTTGATTTTGTTGCAATCATATCGAACTTGTTTACTTGTTTTACATGTGTATGTATATGTTTTATATGAAATTATTTTTATTGTACACACCGGGGCGGCATCGCGCGCCGGGTTCTAGTATATATATATATATATGGATAATTTTGTCAAAATGACAAGTAAATTCTTGTAAGAGTAATATCTTCTTTGTGTGTGTGTGTTTTTTTTTTAGTTTCCTTAACACGGTTTTTATTAATATTTTTCTAAGAAAATTGAAGTATTTGTTTTTAAATTTTATATTATACTAAAATTAATATTATATTAAAAATATTATACTCCCTTCGTCCAATTGAAAGGTTATCATTTTTTATTTTCGTTCGTTCCAAAACAAGGTTATTATTTTCTAATTTAGGAATTGTACTACCTACTTCACATAATAAATACCCTTTCAATTTACAATATATTACACAAATGGCATTATTTTTATATTACACACCATACTAATAGGGGTATTTTTGTCTTTTTACTACAATCCAATATAATATTAATATTAAAAAATTTACATGGAAAAAACAAATGCCACCCTTTTTGAGGGACGGAGGGAGTATTAATATATATTTATATTAGGTTAAATAATAATTTATATTCAGAAATATGTATATTATGTTCAAATTTAATTTGTATATTACATGTCAACTAAATAATTTAATATGTTTCTTTTGATGAGTTTGAAAAAAAATTGATTTGAGTTTGATACGAAAATAATGTTTTATGAGATGTTTTGTAAGAGAGAAAAATATATTTTTTTCGAAAAACGCAGAGTTCAAATAATAAAATTAGGAAAAACTCGACTTACGAAATCTTTTTAAGGTGTAATAATATAATAAATTTATTGGTATAAGTGTTTTTACATAAATATATAACAAAGTAGATATAACTTTCATGAAACAATTCACTATTAGAAAAAAAATATACAAATTTCATATTTTATGTAAGGGTGTGTTTGATTTAGTTTATTTTTGTATTTGTATAGTTTGAAGTAATATTGTTTAGATAATTATTCATAATTTTTATCTAAATATTTCACGAGAGTATTGAGTAATGATAATAATTGTTTTGAAATATAATTAAAACTAAAGAAATACAATGAAATGTTAATCACAGAAAAAATCGGCTTTGGACATGGGTAAAAGGGCCCCGCTAGGCCCAATATAAATAATGTATTTTCTCTGTCGCCCAATTGTGTGCTCATTTGATCGGGTACGAATTTTAAGAAAAATATGTAAACATAGAAATTTTTCCTTTTTTGGTAAAAAAATGTGAGATTTTTTTACTAAAAAAGAAAACGGGAATAAATTTGGATGACAACGTGAGAATAGATTTGGATGACAGAGAGAGTATTAAATTAATATTTTCTCGGTTCCATATTTATTTATCTATTTGTTTTTTGTACGAAATTTTATAAATATTAGTATTATATTGAAATGCAGTAGAAATTAAAAAAAAAAACTAAATTTGTGTAATATATTATAAATTAGAAGAATATTTGTAATGTTATATAGATAGTAAAATTACTAAAATTATGAGATTGACCAAAATAACAAAAAATAATTAGATTGTTAAGGGACCGAGATACTATTTTATTTCCACACTCATCACTTTATTTAGTATTTAATTATTATAATAAAACATTATCCAAAATATTTTCAAAATTTCACACATTTCAAATAAAAAAAATATAAATTTTCAGTTCAATTTTTTTTTTTAATTTAAATTATTCTAAAACTCCAAAATTCTAAAGTCGTTTGTCCAAACGAAGCTCTATATTTTGTCTTTGATCATAGATGCTAAAAGTTCAAATGAATTTTAATACTCAAATATACACATGAGAAAAATAGATGAATTTTTAATTAATATTACAAACCAATATATTTGAAAAACACAATCTAGCGTTGAAAAATTAAAACGATTATCCACCTGGTGAAAAAAAGATTTTTATCCAAGTTATTTTTTAAGAATTCACTCGCCATTACAATTATGATTATTTTGAAATGTTAAATTTAATCAAATTTAATCAAAATTCATAATAAAAAAGTTTGATCAA